TGTTTTGAAGCATCACTATACACCAGAATGTCATGAGTGCACAACGCCCGCTCTTTAAAGAGCATGTCTTTGTCGCGAGTGCCTCCACTTTAAAGAGCTTCTCAGTGTACAGTGCCTGCTCTTTAAGAAGCATTTCAGTGTGGAGTAGCCACTAAAAAAACTTCTCAGTTTAGAGAGCTGATTCTCAGTGTTGGGCGCCTGCTCCTAAAGAGCTTCTTAGTTTAGAGAACCTCCACTTTAAAGAGCTCTTTGGTGTAGAGTGCCTGCTCACTAAAGAGCTTCTCAATTTAGAAAGCCTCTTTAAAGAGCTTCTCAGTGTAGGATGCCTGCTTGCTAAAGAGCTTCTCAGTTTAGAGTGCCTCCAATTTAAAGAGCTTCCCAGTGTAGGATGCCTGCTTGCTGAAGAGCTTCTCAGTTTGGAGAGCCTCCACTATAAAGAGCTCTTCAGTGTAGGGTGCCTCCTCTCTAAAGAGCTTCTCAGTTTAGAGTGCCTCCACTTTAAAGAGCTTCCCAATGTAGGATGCCTGCTTGCTAAAGAGCTTCTCAGTTTAGAGAGCCTCCTCTTTGAAGAGCGTCCCAGTGTAGGATGCGTGCTCGCTAAAGAGCTTCTCAGTTTAGAGAGCCTCCACTGTTTTAGAGCTCCTCGCCACCTCCTAATGGCACCGAGAGCAAGGTCTGCAAATGACACCGTCAGTGCCGTTGTCACAACACCTCGTAAATTGTCTTCTTAAACTTTACGTTCGTCTGGCATCAACTTGCGGGTCGTGTAGCGCGTAAAAATGCGCTCCTTTGTGCTGCTTTTGCCAGCTGAACAGACCGCGCATCTGGGTACGTAGTTTGCATACGTGCTCATGCAGGAGTCCGTGATATTACAATGAAACTAAGTAAATAATTAACTTGAAGATGATGTGTGAATCGTTCGGAGTGGATGCAGAATGAAGAAATTGCTCAAAAATTGTTAGTGGTACAGAATTCAGTTTAAATTTACCTTCCCAGAAACTTTTTAACTCTAAAGGGGAATCAGCAATACGGGTATTTTTTGCTTATACCTATCAGATTGTCAGAATTCAATCGTAGCTCTCTATTGTTCGTACTACACACAGTATTTTTTGTCGACTATACAGTAAATCTAGTTCTTTGTTGTGCTCACTTATTTGTGGATTTGATTCAGTGCGCAAGTGTCTCGAGGGGCTTAGCATTTCGCCCGAGCATGTCCCACGTTGTGTCGTGGGAAGGCGCAATTGTAGCGCTCTACCCGCTTTTTCTGCGATATAAGAACATTGGACTTGGCTGCTGTATCCTACATACGCATAAATGAAGAAAATAAAATTCGTGCGTATTTTATTCTGTGAGTGAGTACTCGCTACTATCTTCCTACGAAGCTCATTTCACGGAGTGTTGGTGTTGGACGACATGTTTATGATGCTCGTTGAATAAATAGGAAGGCTTTCTTTCTATTGTTTTCAGAGCGCAAACTCCGCTTTTGATGCGTCATGTGCTGAAGAAATATGAATACTGATTCTGAGTGAAGAAATAGTTAGAAATCTAAATTTTTGCACGCACGCAATTTTTACATAATTACCTACTTTTTAAAGCAAGAATACATAATGTCTCGCATTAATTCATTTGTGAGAAATGTTATCTTCCATATTCAACGACTTGAATGCAGTTTATCAGCTGTTATTTAAATTATACCTGGCATCTTTCTAGTTACTAGGAAATAAACGGCTCTATACCAAGCTCTGTACCCACATGCCTACGAGATTTGGGGCCCTCGATGGCCAACGTGGCCACGAGAGCTGCGGTGAACATGCACTTCTGCAGGCTCCTCGACCTCCGTCTCCTGCTGCTGGGGCTGAATAGTGAAAAGATGACCGCTCTGCAAAAAAAATTCTGCAATGAAGCTTCTTCTTTATCGAGGCTGGGAAGATGAATTCAGCTTGGAGAGAAAGTGCGCCGCGGCAGGGGAGACGCGAGGTCACTTGCAGTCTTCCTTCCTGCAGTTGTAAACTGCCGTGTAATACCTGCACGAGCTTGCCGCCACACGTATGAGCGTCAAGGCTAGCGCTCAAAACTCAGCTTTGCCTTGATGATTTCACGATGCGATGGATCATTGTCAAATTTGCCGCAAATGATTATTGAATTAATAATTGCAGTCTTGGTGAAATGTGCCTTGAACGTCGTCTACGTTTCCGATAAATTGTGTGAAATTTTAAAACTTTGGTCGCGAATGAGTTGAAAAAGTCGCACAGATTCTGTCCCAGGGAAATTTCTTAAACGTTATTACAATTAAAGCTGTTTACGGTTTCATTTATTTATTATGATTTAATGTCCTTAATCATTATTCATGTATGTTGCATTCAAATATTCATGCATTCAAATGCAAGTTCCTAAATATTAGAATTTTGCGTACGAAGTCATCAATAACCAAAGACTAGCCATAGGTAGGTCATTTGGACGCCATCATTTTATATTAGCGCATGACGACTGGCCGTAAATTATAGACTCCTGCATTTGGTACTTTTTCCCATTCGGGACGAGACGAGACAACAGGGTTTGTCGCGGTTACCAATAAAAACCGGGACAATTTTCAGCAATCCGTGGGATTTCCGAGACGAAACGTCGCGGTTAAAAAAAGAATTTTAAAATTTCCCAGTATTTGCATCTTTTATAACGGGAAACAGCGAGACAACGAGGCATAGCGAGACATAATAGTAATGCATAATGTGTAATTAGAAGAGTAAATTGTTTCAGACATTATCTGATCAACCTTTTGTCTGTTTACAACGTTTCAGGTATGTTAATATGTAAAATGACATCGCTATTGCCCACCTAGCTAATCTGAAGGGGCAGAGTGAAATTGAAAACATAACTGTTAGAAATGCGCTGCGGTTGGAATTATTACAGATTTCTACGTCATTTCGTTTTTGATTAATACGAAAAAAACATTTCACCCAACTGAACAGCTCACATGTCCCTCAATTTTGAATGGATCTGAGTGAAATTTTAAATATAGTTGATACATAGCAAGACTCCGCGGTCGGGATCGACGCAAGTTTTTGCCTTGCTTGGTTTTCGATGTAAACTACGGTCAACGATAATCGTGACTAATTACCAGGCCATTGACCTCGTTTACAGAGGTATACTGCCCGCTTCAGGGGTTATAATAGCGAGTATCGGCCAGGAACTGCCCGTAGTTAGCCTGCTTCCAGGCAGCAAGTGTTTACGAGACATCTACCTGGGAAACGATTATGCTTCTTCTTTTATTAATATATAGTGTAAAATTAAATGACCGAGAGGTCAAACTAGCCCTTTCAGAGAGCAGAAGGTTGTACGTTCTCCCCTCGATCAGTTGAGACTAATTACTCTCATCTGCGGTAGCCTACAGGTGGCGATGGCATTGCTTTGCTTGGGTATAAACTTTGGCTTTGGTTAACCTACGACGTATACGTCCAATATTCTCATTTGTGTATTGGCTTTTAAAATTCAATAAAGCCTCATCTTCATTGCAGATGTTCTTCAGTTCGTCTAATGCCACATTAGAGTCTCTGTTTAGACCGGTTAAGTTTCTCCAGACTCTGAGCTGACCAGCGTCGGCACGAAAAGCATACTCAGGCCCGATGTGTTGACATCATTGAACTTGTAAATATCGCCACAAAATTTGCGACGACTTTGGCATGATTAATATCTCGTGCATCATGGGCCTCGCCTGTTCTTTGCTCCTCAAAATATTTCCAGTGACCACTGCAGATTCGCAGCATCTTGCCAGGCCTACATGAAAGCCCTTCCACGCCTTCTAAAAGCGGCTGACCGATCGGCTCTGCGTCGCCGACTCGCGTTTATGCTATTAAGCGTACTAAACTCGTATGTCTCTCGTCGCGCGCGATTGAAAAGCTCAACTGCAACATCATTCACTAAATATTCAGTCACACACTGTCAAATCTGCCCTCTAAATTAATTGCCAAATAGCAGCCGAATGTCTCCTAATCTGCCCATAACTGGCAGCTGCTCATTAACAATCAAGGGCTAACTTGGTATTCCTTAACACCACGTTCGGAATGTTTTGTTTTGCATTCGTATCGTTAGGAATATCTTGTTTCGCCTTGAATATTTAAGAAATGTCTCGTCTCTTTACGTCATGTCTCGTTTCATATTTATCTGTCTCGTGTCGTTTCATAATTACCAGGATACAAGTTTTAAAGTCCGAGGCACAAGTCTTGTCCCGGTTCATACGTTTACTCCGGGACCAATTTTACCTTGTGTCTCGTTATTTTTTCGGGAATTGTTCGTCTAGTCCCGGTTATCCCGGTTCATTTCGAGACAATTATTCCGAGACGCAGGTGTCTATCGGTAATTGCAGATGTGTCTGAGGTTGTTGCGAAGCGGCCCTTGTACATTTCTATACCTATTGATTCAGTCACAGTCCAGATTAAATTTCGCTCTTAACTCCCGAGTTCAGCATGAGTGAAATATTCCCATGAAGCTTGATCGCACCATTCACGCAATAAATCAGCATTGATTCGAGATGGCGTCTCAGGACTAATCGATGCCCATTACTGGCCTTAAAACTGACTTCAATTTCAAGGATCCGGTTATTTGCGAATGATATGAAGCACTGTATATACTACAGTAGTGGATTATCCGACTCATTCCCACACTCCTGCTTATTGCATCTCTTGTCCCTCGAATGCACAACTGCACATGTGTTCGAAACTTCGGAACATGTGGCATTGTGAGGACAGGTGTTACGTACACGTGCTCTTGGCTATCGGACACGAGACTTCCCTCGTGAAACTTAGTGGCGACGTGAGGTCACATGTGTTGCAGTTTCTGGTCTATCGTGGAAATGATCTCGTTCCCATGTTACTGGAACAGAAATTTTTAGCTTGTTTCTAGCGGATAGTGTTTTCAAATTATGCTTTGGATAATTTTGTTCTACTTTTTCTGTAAGATTTTGTATAATATGTTTAATCATGACAATGTTTTATCTTCCCGTGCAGAATGTCGGCCGTGTAGTGACGACGAACTCCTAGAAGCAGCGTGCACAGCCGATATTGTTTCTGTCGGCCGTCTTATGTCGGTGGAAATGGATCCTGAGGAGGCGTTTGCGTTCGACGGATCACACAACGCCATCGAGAACGTCACACCTCCTTCCGCCAACGCTAACTTCCTCACGCCGAGCCCCCTAGCTCCCCTAAGAGGTCCTGAGCCGCTTCCCACTTGGAGTCACTCCGTGCTCAAATTTGCAGCCTCCAAAATTATCCGCGAATTAGCGGGTGACGAAAACGTTGAAGTGTTCAGGAAAGTGAGGGGAGGTGGCGTAGTGGCGTCGATTAAAGTGCCGACCCACTGCGGTGTGAAGACTGGGCCTGGGAATTATCTTCTTATGGCTAGAATGAAACTTGGTGCGCCTAAATTAAAATGCATCCCAAAGTTGAATGACTTCAAATCGTTGATTGAAAGCAGAGGATCTGAACTGCATTGCTTAGTAAACTTTTGAGGATAAACTTTTAGGTCGATGTAGTCGGAGTTTAAATTGCGCAATGTTCTCCAACCACTCATTTTCTATGACAATGCTGTCAATCTCAATTTTGCAATTAATTTAGGGAAAATTACATTCCTTTCAAGTGCAATCTAAGAAGTTCGTAAGAAAAAACACTTGAGTGACTGTCCGGTCCGTGAGTAGTCCACTAGCTTTTAATGCCCGTGAATCGTAGCTGCAATTTTCACAGGACTGATGTGATGTGCTGAAAAGGCAGCCTTTGTATACTGGTACACCCTTTAAATTTCTTCATAATCATTGAATGATATTAGAAAATGTATTTCATGACTTGCTTAAATTACTCAATGTATTGACTCATTGATATTACTTAATTCGCGTGTATAGCTCAAGTTGAGCTCTCACTCAAGAACTGCTGCCAATTAAGAGTTGCCGTATCAGCTCTGTGCTGAAGTTGTTGCTTCATCACAGATATCGAAAATTGCCATCTAAGAAAGCTGCTGTATAAAATCGCATAGAAAAATTCTCGAAAATGGCCTGAACTTGTGTTTTTTTTTTGGCCTAATAATATCAGTTTAATTTGGGACGTAATTTGTATAATTATATGTTATTCCTGTCTGTTGTGTGATGCAGGTAATACGGCCAGTAGCTCGTTTATATATTGGAGGATAACTGAATAAATTTCTACCGGTTCCAACAGTTGCTTTATGTCGTCATCATCTTATGTGACAAGCTTTTGATGTAGACCGGTGTTCCTAACTCAATTTTTCCAAGTTATGGTTAATTAATTGTGCCAATTCCTTTGAAAAACCAAATTAAATTTTTATTTTGCTTATGCTCACCGTACATCATAAACAAAATCGAGTCACCTTTCTACGTGATCATTTAAATATCTATAAATACTTGCACCATAACTTAAGATAGTAACAGAGATGGTCTTCAGCTGTACATACTGCATTATAGCCGCTTCGTAGTATCCTTGCTGTTGTCTGTCCTAGGATAAACTTTCTCAGTAGTTACCTTACTTTCCTGCTGTCTGTGTGACGTGTCACCAGCAGCCGTGCGTTCGTAGTGCCATAGTACCGATATAGTGACTGCTTCCACCGAGCCTCTGAGGACACCAGGCCTTTTACAAGTGCGGCCACAATCGTTCATATTAATCAATATGAGCGATCAATATTAATCAATATCATCACTATCTCTCGTACTCGTATTATTCAATACACTTTGAGAAATAAAAAAATTCTGTTTTGCTTAAATTTCTGTGCCATCGGCTTTCTTTTGTCGTGCATCGAAAGTTATTAAATTGATGGACGTTTCTAGGCACATCAAATGTTCAGTAGACAAATCAGAATTTTATGTACTTTTGTAATTGAAAAACCAACGTCCGATGAGGCTGGAGTATTTACTTTATTAAATGTGAATAATGTTTGTAAAGAGATTAATGTAGAGCTCAAGAATGTATATTTATATTTTCGCTAGTTAGCACGATCGGCAAAACCTTTGCATCTCGTATTATAATATTTTAGGATATAATTAGTTAGACGGTACCGACTTAAAATGCGCCAATGCCAATTATAATAATATTTTTCATCGCAATTTAGTAATAATTAACTATGGAACCGTACATAAAAAGGAATACTAGATTTTGGCACCACCTTGGCTATGCTGTGTTTTGTGTGTTCGATCGTTGTGGCCGGCAGGCATTGCATGTAAATATAAGCTTGCAGAATTAATGGATCTCTATTGGCTGAAGTGACATGGACGATTTGCATCCTGTGATGTGAGTGATCTCCCGTCCTGCTCACCGCGCCGATATTCTGCTCAGCCTTAACCGCCGTATTAATGAACTACTCTTTAACTCCCGATCATTTACACAGAATACAAACGAAACTGAACGATGTGTATTACTTTCACCATCGGCTCGTTGCCTTAAAGAATAATTGTTTTACAGATGAATATTTGCATAAATTGAGTTAACACTTAAAATAAAAATTCATATTTATTTTCTCACCGACAACGCCATGAAGGAACGATATCGCCATCGGCAACGCTACACATTGTGAAAATTGTACTTCGTACTGAGTAAGCTATTACATTCGAAATCTGCGATTTGAAACTTGGAAGTGAATAAACAAAGCTTCTAAATTTTACTCTCCAATATGTCAGCTTATACTCACCGAAAACTATAAAGATATATTGTTTCTTCTGTGTGAGACAATAACGATCACTGCTTTGGACGTATGCAAAAATATTACTCGTATGATGTCATATAACTTTTGAGAAATAATTAGCGGAACTATGAGAAAGCGGAAACATTACATTATATAAACGTTTTCCGACGCAGACACAAAAGCCATTACTGTTGCTGAATCGGAGCTCAGTTCTGCCAGGAACTTTTGAATCATATTTACCTATATTTATATATGTACGATCCAAATCTCATAATTTAAACTATTTTAACTTGAAAATGATGGTTGTTACTTTGAAACGTCGTTAATACATTAGAATGTCTAATGTAGTGGATGCCCGCACACTCCATTCCGCCTGATAGCCACATAAATAATCTCTCCCTAATGTAGTAGATGCCCGCACGCTTCACTCCGCCTGATGGCCACGTATATAATCTCTTCCTAATGTAGTGGATGCCCGCACGCTTCACTCCGCCTGATGGCCACGTATATAATCTCTCCCTAATGTAGTGGATGCCCGCACTCTTCACTCCGCCTGATGGCCACGTATATAATCTCTCCCTAATGTAGTGGATGCCCGCACGCTTCACTCCGCCTGATGGCCACGTATATAATCTCTTTCTAATGTAGTGGATGCCCGCACGCTTCACTCCGCCTGATGGCCACGTATATAATCTCTCCCTAATGTAGTGGATGCCCGCATGCTTCACTCCGCCTGATGGCCACGTATATAATCTCTCCCTAATGTGGTGGATGCCCGCACGCTTCACCCCGCCTTATGGGCCACGTATATAATCTCTCCCTAATGTAGTGGATGCCCGCACGCCTTCCTCCGCCCACACGAAGCAGCGGCAGCTCGCCTGACCTGAGCGCCTGACGCAGCAGCAGCGTCGAGGAGAGGCAGGCAGGCAGCCGCGCGTGTCGCGCAGCCTAACCTCTTGACCCGGACACGATCTGACCACACGACTTGCTTGTCCGTCGCACCCTCTCCCTCTCCTTTAGACTGCCTCGTAAAAATCCTAACCTGTTAGCGCATTCCTTGTGCAGAACTTCATTAGATTCCTTGCACTCTGCTTCAATTTGTATTGTAATCGTAATGTATCTCAATGCATGGATGAGCATAAGGGCGAAACGGGTTGAGTTAACTTGAAGGTGAATTTGTAATGCTAATAATAAGCTCTTAATGTTAGCGTTGCAAGAGTGATCAGAATTCTTTCTAATTGACTTCAGCAGCGAATTATAGTTATTCATGAACAATTTCGTTTTATTCAAGCCGTCAAACAAACTTGCATACATGCGCCCAGTATTAACAATTGCATTTAAGATTAAAGCAGCAGCCGGATGATGTGCAGCCTAGACGAAAGCGATGACGAATCGACGCTTCAACAAAGACCAATCAACTTTTGGTCACCATTTCTCAGATAAAATTTTCAGCGTTTTTTCCGTCCATGAAAAGTTGATAGCGTAATTCACAATGGCTTGATAGGTATACTTTCTCCATTTCAAAGCTCTAAATATCGATGTGTTTAAATGTTATTTATATAAAAGTAGTATAAAAAACTGACATTATGTTTCATTCCATGACGCATGGATTTGCTAGATAATTTCCCAGCAGCTTTCACTCCCAGGGTTTGACATGCCGCGCCATTTGGCATGCAGTCCATATACACCAGCAGCCCAAATAAATAACTACTCCGCTGCCAGCGACATCCACGGACGAAATATCCGCAGAGTTTGTCTCAATAAAAAACTTTTTCGCGTGTTTTTATAAGCCACACACGCGGAACTCTCATAAAACGCCATCATGAACAGACTAGACGAAGCTATGCAGGAGCATATGTTTAGTCTTAAAATGCCTAGCAAATTACGGACCAGGCAATAAGTCCAGCAGCTATCTCAATCAATCGTCAGCTATGGAAAGATCGGGTTCCAAGGCCGGATCCCTTGTGAATCAAGTCACGAAAAGTATAAGAATCGGCAACAGGCCATGGGCCTATTTCTTCAGTACCGACACTTCTATTATATTCTATTCCAAAAGGAAAATATATTTACAAATAAAATAATAAGAAATATTCTCGAAGCATTTTCATTTGAATATTCAGCGAGTTTGTAAGTTTTCTATGTAGACACATAGGGACTCCCAATCCAGGTAAATATAATTTTTACTATCGAAGCCTCATTGAAAGTAGTTTTATTTTATGCCTGACATTAAGGCGCATTCTCCCTGCATGATTTCTCCACGAGCATTTCACCCCGCATAGCCCACCCGTCCTAAGGTCAGCGAGTGCGGCGTCACCAAGAAGAAGTCGTCAGCGACTGCACGAGCCGTCCTGTGATTCCTGTCGCGTCTGGTGCTGGCCTTCGGCCCCAGAGACGCCACATTTCCCGCACACTCCGGGCTGCCCATCAGTGAATAATATTAAAATACGATGACAACTTATCCATTATATTGTGGATCCGCCGCTTTTGGGGATGAACCCAAGGAGATCATGTGAGACGCATTCGCCTTGCTACATGTTTGGTCGCTCAATATGCAGGAAAATTTCTATTCTTTCTTTAATATTCTAAATTGATTATTAATGTGTCGTATATCACAGTAAAAACCTTTTAGCTGGTGATATGAACAAATTAAATGATACGACATATACAATGGCAGTGTAAATTTTTGCAAAAACATCCGAAAAAATTATTATTGGGTAACATAATTTTCCAAATAGCTAGAGCTTGGCTCTCATGCGCGATGCTATTAGCGATAGCGGCTGGAGCAGAGCAGCTCACATTTACAGACTGGAGGGTCGAGCTAGTCACGGCGTAGTATAACTCCTTCATCTCAGCTGCGTAGAGCCCACGCCCTTAACGTTCAATACGAGTGCTAGGCACCGAGCGATCAATTAATGGAGTCGGAAACCGTGAAATCCACGGTTAATCGTTATTTTCGTTACCAGCTCCAACGTATCGAACGTTTTAGTACCGCTTTCATTGCTGTCTTTTGAGCAATGCAGTTATTTATTATTGTAGTATTTCGCAGTATATGTGACAGCGTATGGTTTTTGCGACATAAGGTGCCTCTCAAAGCAGCGAACGAGCATATAATCTGAGAAGAGTTCAACCACATCGGTATACTTTTCAGTATCGTTCACGATAACAAATTAAGTCATGAATAGACTCGTGCTAAGCACGTAACTTACGTTAGTTTTAATAAACATGTGCATTCTTTCAATTTACTTAGAACAAATTTTGAAATCTGATCGCATGAGTATTATAGAAAGAACCTAGAGTGACGTATGATATAAAACTGAAATAACTGTCTGGAGTTAATTAATTGAACATTGATTGGCAGTAAGTCGCTCGTTAAGCTACTCAAACGAGGGAATGTTTTCAGAATAAGAAACTTCGTAGAAGCATGAACGCAGATAATAATTTATGAGCAGGTAAATACATTAGTTTTTTAATTAATTTTAATGATTCAAATAAACTTATTGGCTTACAGATGCTCATAATTAGGCGAGAAACATTACAGCAGCTTGATATTAATTAATCCAGTTTCATTCGAGACTGAATCTGCTAAGATTCAGGCAGTTAAACTCAGGCTACTATCAGGCTCCCTATAAATTAGTGACAGGTTAACTAATTTAAACAAAACCAATATTTCCAGCTACAGTCAGTAATCAGTATGCAATAGTATAACCGTTATCTCGGCCACATTGCAAGCCAATCTTCGAATGAAAATTCAAGGGATGGCCAAAATGTACATATTACATTTAGAAGGAATGAGGAGGTCGTATGATGTTTGGGTTCTTAATTGAAGTGACCTCACCGGCACCAAGAGCTTTATGATCACAACCTCACAACCAGAAATTTGAAATAGAAATGATTCTGAGTAACGCTAGACGTTAAGAAAAATAAAGTCGCGTGAAATTCACACAAGTCTTCACCACTCAAATGAAAACAGATAAAATTTTCAAATCGTTGTTAAAATAAGGGATATAAAAGGCAAAGAAGTTTCATTTTCAGGCAAGTTTACTCAAGAAGAACTGCTGAAGCCAGAACACACTTGGTTATCACTCACCTCGCGTCAGGTTACAGTACAGCTTGCAAATAATTACTCCATACAAAAATATTTAGCTTCACACTAAAGGGTCTCAATGAACGAAGAAGTGCGATGAATTGCAAGGCAAGCGTCCGGCACGAGAGGTGCAAACGCAATAATCAGCAGTGCACAGAGACATTGATAAATTTCAGATGAATGAATTGATTTACTGTATATTCATTGCTAATGTCCAGTAAAATGGGACTCCTGTAAGCAAATCAATGTCATTCAAATAGAACGAAGTAAAGGCTACGTACAAAATAACCTTTAGGAAACGGTGTTACATGAAAAGAATGTAAATATGAGTAATGAATTTTCGAAATCATTCAATAGGAAAAATATTCCCCAATGATATTAGTTCATCAATTTTTAGCATGATTTTACATCAGAGAACGGACTGCCTTCAGCAAGTTTCTCCTTTCTCTGGAGGTCCACAACAACAATGATAGCTCAGCTACGTAGTTAACTTCATAACACGCTTACGTTCTTTTACTCGAACGCAGTTTCGAAAATTTGTTTGGTCAGGAATGTTGTTATTTACTGTAATTTGCGACATATTGGTTCGTCGCATCGGGTCTCTTCTAACATCATCACCGGGAGGAGTTCTCTGAATGAGGCTCTCAACTCTATCCAACCTGCTCATGGCGTCTTCATAATCCAGGGGCAGGTTATCATCGTCAAGCATCCCGATCAGGGTAGTCAGCAGACATTTGACAGCATCCCTTTTAGCTTGGACGTCTGGTTCATCAGTCTTCTTAGCAAACATATTACCTCCAGATTTAGTAATGTGGAAAGCAGAGTTCTCTGGTAAACTGTGCGATCTGGCTTGTGCGTATCTCAAAACATCAGCCACAGCTCTGGAAACCGATTTAGTACAACTTTGCAACATCTTTTCCCGAAGAGGAAGAGTGGTCTCGCCCAAGAGCTTGATGTCAGATGAAAAGTTCCTGTGATGAAATGCAGCGAACCCAGTAACTCCTGCAGACATGAATGTCGGAATGAAATATTCTGAAATAAATCTTTGACATGAAGGCATCTCGTCCTTCTGCAACACAAAAGTTTGTAGTTTCTTAGAAAATTCCCAAGCGTCTGTCTCAGAAAACAAGTCGTTAACAGCCGTTTTAAGAGTCCAACGAGTTCTCTGACCGATGACAAACGTTTCAAGTGCAGTCCAAAGGCTGTCTTGGATAAACCACGGAGCTATCACCTGCAGAGGTGTACGCTGGAAAACTTCACACCACACGCCATAAACCTCGTTGCTGTTCTCTTCAGAAATTACGTAATTAACATCGAGTTGACCGCATTTCTGCTTAATGGCATCCAAAAATACACGTAAAATATCGATGTGGAATGCATTGCAGACGCAAGTAGCGAGTGGGAGATCAATAGGTTTATTGGAAGCGGTACGAGTGAAAGTGTACAGGGATATGATAACTAATCCATCAACTAACTTCATATCGCTTGCAATATGAAGGGCAACCCCCTGGTTTGACAGGTTCTTCAATCTGCGCTCCTGAAATTCTGACATAATACACAACATGAAGTCCGAGTTTTTCAGTGTTGGCGCTTCACGGGAATGTTCTCCTTTGGCTTTGTGGAAGAGTATGTTTCCTTTCAGCCTTAAAGCAACATTGTATACATTCCAAACAGAATATGGGCTTGTAACGGAAAAATCAGAGTCTAACTTCTTTGACTGGAAAGAAGCGATGACGTTAACAACATCCTTCCTACCGAGAATAAAATTATGCTCTGCAGATTCCATTGAGTTGACTTTCTTGATTATTTCTTTAATTGGGATGCCAGATTCATAGAGCACGATGATGTAACTGCGTTGGCTCTTGGAGATACGCAGATGAGTTGCTTCCAGATCATGGCCATAGTGGGTCTTGGTGTGCATTACTGACAGCTGTAAAAATTATTGGAGAATCAGCCTAGGAATAAAAATCAATAAACCTAGTATTTCCCATCATAGAACTCTAAAAAAATATAACTCAGTACTCACTGCAGTGAGTGACAGAGAGCGCATTTTCTCGTCGACGAAAACGTGAAGTCACGGACAGACGAGCAGACAGACGGACATGACGAGCACAATAGGGCCTTTTTTCATAAATGAGAAAATGTGCAAAAAACGACGCAGAGGAGCTCTCTATCTATTGCAATAGCTAATGGAAAAGAAGGTGTAGTTGTGCTATGTAATTTTAATTCAGCAATTGGCAACATTTAAATTTATATACAGGGAAATGAGAAAAGATGCAAACAAATTTACACTAATCAAATGTTGTCATATAAATTTTGCAGAATTAGTGGTTTTTCCCAATAGATTACCTATTGGGAAAAACTAGGGAAAAATATTTAGGTACTTGAAAATTAGGGAAAATATTTAAATTTATGTCAATATTTTAAATTAAAGCAATATTAATGAACTTCTTTTCTGCATTGAAATAAATTTGAATTCTTAAATCATACAGTTTAATAGAACGCGATTATTCAAGTATTCTGTTCTTCTTTTCAATACAAAATAAAATAGTCTATATGGCTATATTTTCAATTAGGAGTTGATATTGCATAATGGTGAAAATATAGGTATCTCAACCTTTTGCAAATGTAATCAAGGAGCTAAAAACTAACGTGAAAAAAAGCTCCACTTTCGAGATCCACTGAAGATGCTGTGAGAAGCACTCACTCACGGTATTTATTTTGAACCAAACATATACTAAAATAAATAGTAGAGGTTGAAGCACCTCAGGACTAACTAACTCAGAGGATTCAAAAATAGTTAACTGATTGATAAAACTTAGGCTAGCCTTAATGTAGAGACTGATTAAGCTCTCTACATGGCAAACACTCAACACAGCAAGCTAGTCGTTATATTAATACACAACAAAAATTTATCTAATCAAGTAATGATATTTCAATAAACTATGATATTATGTTACCCCAACCCTTTTGCAACCCATTAAATTCCAAGACTAAACAATAAATACCTTGCCGTCCTCCAGACCCCTGACTATGAGTCCAGCAACACAGTGAGCGTTCAGTTTGCTTGTTCCTTTGAGTTTGGCGCGTCGCGTGGCATCGTTCTTCTTCACGTAGTAGCCTGAGCGACTGCAGCTGTAGTAGCGCAGAAAAGCCTTCACCTTGGTAGATGCTAGTCTGTACTGACAGTTTGCATGTGTTTCATACTCTTCCTTCCAAGTTACGAATTCTGAAACAAGGAGAAAGTATTTGGTGGGTGCTCCATCCAAGTAAGTAGTGGTGTACAATTACATTAATCTTCAGTTAGACTAATGTAGTTGTAATATGCATTAATGCAGTTTTAAAATGAAAACTTTAAATGAAATAAATACAGAATTTAGATCTGATACATGATGATAGCAAGACAATTTCAGAGAAGTCAAAGTATTAAAATAATTGGGCACATTTCTGTTGCCACAGAGGACATCAAATCATAGAAGAACTAAAAGATACCAATACAAACAAGAAATATACCAGTCATGATTATGGTTGTAAGCAATTGAAGAGAATTGAGGAGTTTAATTTGCAGTTGCAAAGTAAAATAAAAATATTTTCAAATGAAGCCAAATAATTTTTTGAAATGAATCAATGAATTGGCAATAATTGTCACTAGGCAGAATTGGCCAACGCCCAACATAAGCAAATAGCGAACAAAACTTTAGCAAAAATAATGCTTCAAAATACAAGCTCAGTATGATTTTTTAAAGATAAAATTACAGCCTTTGCTTTAGCACATTGTTCCCTGTGCACAGTCATTTTAAGCCAGTGGTACAAAATTTATTTTGCAGTTCACGAAATAAACTAATTGTCATTTGACAAAGAATTTTTCAAGGAACTCACCTGCTTCGTCAGCAAACTCAAGTTCTTCTTCAATAATCTGGAGTTGATGAACACGTGTGAGATGATCCCGGAGTTGATTGACACGAAAACAGACAAAATCACATCTAATCTCCTGGCACTTGACAGTACCCGACGCCATATTAGGATGCATAGTGCGCTGGTGCTTCAGGAGTTCAGTTCGACCTTTGAATGTAGTGTGACAAGATTGGCACAGCATGTCCTGACCTCTCCTGCGTAGGCAGGGAAATGATATTAAAGTCGGGAGTTTAAAAAGAGAATTTATTGTTACACATTATGTAAGTGAGAAAAAAAATGGCTAGATTTTCTATCAGCTTTTTTTACCAATGTCATACAAGCATGTATATATCTATAGAATACCGTAAAATGGGGTAACTTAGACCGGCGGGGTAACTTAGACCACTTTTCGTTTTTTTTACAAAAACCCCCACAACTCAAAAACTATTTGACATAGAAAAATTTTGTCAATGGGCATTAAAGGCCTAATACTGAGGCTACATAACACAATAGAAAGATTTAAAAAGTTTGCAATGGGGTAACAAAGACCATCACTTTTTTTGAAATTACATAAAGACTATGAGAGGCAGGAGCCAGCAATTTATGGTGAGTGAAGCTAGAGTATAGACCTGTATTTTGCATCTTTCAATTCAAGTTTAATTTAGCTAGTAAGAAAATGGCATCATTTATAAGAAAAAAAGTGGTCTAAGTTACCCCATTTTACGGTAACCTATAAATAATTGAATTTTACATGATATTCTCTTGCAAAATGAGTTTAAAATATTAACTGATGAAGCTATTATTAAATAAAAATGCACAAGAAATCCTTTGAATGACTTAAATACTCACTTGGCCTTTTTCTGTGCAGACATGACAGTTCTGGTATAGCGAAGAGTAGTAGCAGGATTGTCAATAAAGAATGTGGGCTCTACCAATGCTTCACTACCATGGACAATATGAGGTTCAGGGACAGCTATTGAATTAATTGTTTCCCTGCCGTTTCCATAGTTACTGCCACTGAAATTACTTGTATGTATATCTTGCTCATTTGAATCATCCTCTTGCAGCAATGATGCCTCAACTACCATATGACCCCCTTCAACGCAGATGAAACCATCGACCTGAGGCTCAATAACATCCATGTCTTCCTCAGAGGTAATCACAACCTCTTGATACTGATTCCCCTGAGCATCATGGTAAGATTTTCCTGCTTCCTCTTCTTGGACACTAAGCTCATCATCACACAAAGGTTTAATGATATCAGTGCGCACATTTATTCTTTCAGATGCCATGATTGATTGATCTCAAAATTGTAAAAATTAATTTCCTTTAGAAGTAAAATAATCTGAAAAATATAACAAAATTATCCAGTATATGGCAAATAAATATCAACTAGAAGGCTTACAATGATAAATTCCCAGTTTTCACAAACTGAAGAAGAGAGAGCTGATTGTAGGAGTTGCTAAGAGGATTGCAATTTAACACGTTAACCGCCACATGTACCACCGGTGGCACAAAACAAGCTGTCAATGAACGCCATATGTACCACCGGTGGATCATTTACAAATTTAATTTCAAATTTCTTTTTCACTCGTTTTTCATGGATAGAAGGATGAATTATCAAAACAAGTGTTGTAATTTATTTATTTATTAGCATAACTATTCAAAAAAATAGTTTCATACAAATTTCAAACGAAATATAACTAAAGTTTTGTTCCGTAAATCAGACTCTTTCTTAAACCTAAAATTCAATGGTAAAAAAGAAAATTCTTCAAATAAAAGAAATAATCTGCATAAATTGGTGATCATAATTAGTTAGATTACATTTTGGAAAATTATCCATGAACCAATAATAGCATTAGACATCAGAAATTACCTATGAGAATGGGTTCATTCAAAACAACCAGGGCATAAGTGTGGCTTATTTTCGCTTTGAAGGCAGACTGTTTTCAATCTTCTTGCTTATGCAGCTGCAACTGAGCAGCCTTCATTTTTCGACAGCACCTTGTAACACCCTCTACATCTTTTTCTTACATTCCAACATTGACCCTCCAACTCAAAAAGGTAATGAAAGTTTCTCATCCCACCTATAACAGCTGGTTCTCGTCCTGCATTCCTTTTTTTTGAGTTTCCTGTTATGAGTGAGTGAGCAATAGATTCTTGGAATTCTTTCATCGACAAGGGTTGCTTGATATGAAATTTGTTATCGTAATGCAAAGCAATTATGAGTAGAGAGTGAAATAATGAAATAAACGTATGTAATAAGTCTTGGTATCATTATAAATAAAAAACTAACAAATGAAAATCATAACTACAATATAATAAATATTTTTTGAGAGCTCCAAACTATAACCACCAGTGGCCAAATAATTATGATCCAATGTGTACCGTTTCTATTGTTGCAATAAAAGCCACCAGTGTACCATAAACTCTTGTACCACCGGTGGCGCATATGGCGCTGGAGAAAAATGAAGATTTAGTGAACATCCTTATGTACCACATGTGTCTCATGGTTTACTCTGTTCTAGAAGAAACTAGACAGAGAGTATAACACATACACACCTTCCCTTGCAGCTGTTCCTGACCTACTGAGATATTTTGGCGCCTAGAAGTCTTGGCGCTAGGGGTAAATTCCAATATTGCATGCTGGCGGTTAACGTGTTAAATATTGTTTTTCTGCTAGAGGAAAAATATAATCAGCAGTGAGAAAGTCATGCAATTCGATGGCTTCTGCTAGAGCTTAAAAATGTATTATCTTACTATAGGGTTCATACTGGTATTTAATAAAATTCCATGACTTCTCCATGACTCTCCATGGCCATCAATATAATTTTCTATGACTTGTAGACGACAGGTTTAGCATGACTGATAGACTATCCGTGCATATTCTATCATCTTCTATAAAAAGCAAATGTGTAAATGCATAGCTCTTCAAACATGGCATGGCTCTTCAAAGCTGCTTCCCCCATAATTGACACATCAAAGTTTTTCGAGCACAATGTACATATCGCCATACCTTCATGCTTTGGATGGCCAGCAAACTAGTCTTGATAAGCTTCTATTCTTACCCACAACTGCCACAAGTCATGAAATTTACACTTTCTAGGCATGGTGATGTAGAAATTGCACGCTGAAGATGGAACGCTGCCACTGCAGATCAAAAAGTTGTTGAATGCAACTGAGCTTGGTGACCGAACTCACATGATTGGTTCTCTAATCATGTAACCAACGGTCACATGATTGGAGAATCAATCAAAATGCATGAAACAAGAGTCTGGCACAGTCTCTTGTTTCATGCGTGCCAATCAGAATGCAGGAAACAAGCAACTGCACAAACAGTAAACACATAAAGCACAGAAAAACACTTTTTTTCTTTTATTTGAAAATTCAATGCCTTTCCATACGCTGAAATGAAATTCAATGATTTTCCAGGCCTGGAAAATGAAAAATCAAATTCCATGACTTTCCAGGCTTTTCATGTTTTCATGACCGGTACAAAACCTGTTACTAACCTATGATTTAGTTACTGGGAGCAAGTAACTTCTTCACAATTGCAAAAGTCAGTGACAGTTTTTCAATTTTAAACTCATAAAATAAATTACCGGTACTTGACAAGCCTAATTTGCATTCTCAATGAATTGATGAATGTTTGCACATTAAGCAATTTATTTAAACCATGCAATAACCAATCAATTTACTCAAGACAATATTTCTACTTCCATTGGAGACATCATATGGCCTAGAAATTGACATAAATCATTTCACTGTAAGTCTGCTAAATCAGTCTGCTGTATGCATGCAGATGTGCATGCAGCAGTTGCTGCCTCCTCCTCTTCTAAAGCAGATATGCAAGAAGCTGCTTTACTCCTCTCAGCAGAGTTCAGCTCCTGAAATATGTTTGACTACCATCAAACAGGGTAAAAAGGGACGGTTTTGAGCATTTTTTGTTAATAACTTCTTACCATGAAACATTTCAGAAACGAGTTTGGGCTCATTTTAAAGCTCTATGCGAGGGCTATTGAATGGCATCTCCAAAAAATGTCAAATGCTGTACGTGAGGTGCCGGATGCAAAATAAAAGCGTCCCAAATTACCACTGGGAACGGGGTAATCCAGGACACTTGCAATAAAACTTAATTTTAAAACATTTGAAGCATGCAGAGTGTACTCATCCATTTCTAACAGTACTCTGAAGTCCTTCTCTTTCATTGATGATGTAGAGGTAGAATAAATGACATTTTCTGTGATTTTTACTTGTTTTTCCTTTATTGATATGATATTACCATAAACATTAATTACTGTATTATTGATGTGATATTACCATATCCACGAACAGGCCATTGAGCATTTCAACTACCTTGTCCACTGCAAGCTTCATATCAGCAGCCTTATAGCATTTTTTAGCTCATTTTCTCATTTATGGAAAAAATGCACTATTGTGCTAGACATGTCTGTCTGTCCGTCCGTCCGTCCGCCCGTGACCACGTTTTTGTCGACGAGAAAATGTGCTCTCTGTCACTCACTGCAGTGAGTACTGAGTTATATTTTTCTGTATCTGTAAGCTTACAGGACAGCTTGTAATTTCACACCATTTTAATTGTGTCAAGTGAAATTACTAAGATCGTGAAAAACATAGTACCTGAAACAGAAAGGAATGTTTTAGAGACAACCATCATATGTTTTGGAGAAATAAATCATAGTTTAGGTCAATTACTTTTCATTCTATGATGCCTGGTGCACAATTCTATATATGACATTCTATGCACAATTTTGTGATGACCGATGATGCACTTATTTTTTGATGAGTGAAATTGTTTTTTTCGCTGAGCAAGGTAAATGTAATCAATATTCTTTGTTTTTAATCAAATTTTTTCTTAACTGGAGCCTTTGCTAACTGAGGTTCTACTGAAAAATGCATTTCTAAGGGTGTCCCTAATTACCCTGGGGGGTGTCCCTTTTTACCCCGTCACGCAGAAATGGCTGCCATTTTTTTTGGAATGAGATACCGTCAACCGGGGCTACTCGGGACGGTTTTGAGCGTTTTTTGTTAATAACTTCTTAGGATGAAACATTTCATAAACAAGTTTAGGCTCATTTTATAGCTCTTTGCGAGGGCTATCGAATGGCATCTTCAAAAAAATTCCATATGCTATTCGTAAGGTGCCAGAAGAGAATAGCCCCGGGGGGGTGTCCCGAGTAGCCCCGCCGTGCGGAAATGGCCGCCATTTTTTTTTGTAATGAGATAGGCAAAATCTGTCAATTACGTTTTCAAGCCAACACCTGGGTGCAACTTTTATGTAAGTAAAATTTTTTAATACGGCAAACATTTTTTTTGCTACAGACCTTAGCAGAAGTAACTTTTCAAAATAGCGTTTTTTACCATTTTTTTCAGGAATTTTTCAAAGCTATTAAATGTCGTATTTTTCAACTTCCTTTATACTACATAGATAGGAAAAATGTTGTTGTTTAGGCCACTATATTTAGTTTAGCAATATTCCAATTAGTTTCGCTACTATGACTGTTTTACGACGTGTCAGAGGTGCGTCCCGAGTTGCCCCGCCAGTACCGAGTTGCCCCAGTTGACGGTAGGCAAATTCTGTCAATTACGTTTTCAAGCAGAAACTTTTATGTAAGTAAAATTTTTATATACGGCAAATATTTTTTGCTCCAGACCTTAGCAGAGGTACTTTTCCAAAATCGCACTTTTCACACTTTTTTTCAGCAATTTTTTAGATATAGTAAATGTTTGCTTTCTTGACTAGCTTTATACATAATAGATAGTAAAAATGTTGAAGCTTACACCAGCAGTTTTAGTTTTGCAATATGTTGATTAGTTTAGCTGCTACAACATTTCTACAAAATGTGAGATGCACGTCCCAATTTACCCCGCCCGTCCCTTTTTACTCCATTTGATGGTATTTAATGATAATTTTTAATAAGAACCAAAATTCATAGTGTGGCACAAGAGTCATTGAAATCAGTCATCAAGTCATTGAATAAGCATAATATGCTGGTCATTGGTTGGTAGGTTTTCTAGTCGATAACTTTGGAAGAATCAGTCATTGGGCCAATACTACGTATATTATGAAATTCTTATAAAAAGTTATTCTTCTTGTCAAATGGATTATTAAAACAATGTAAAAGTGATAAAAAATATTGGAATATTGGATTAGTTGTATATTACAAAAAATCTTCAGTCAACTACAGAATTGTCTTATGACTTGTGTTTGCATTTGTGCTCACTGCAACATTTTCTGCAATGGGCAGCATGTTGTTTGTTGCTACCGTCACGTTCGCCGGGGGGGAGGCTCTGGTGGTGGGCAGGGGGCAGGCACCGGAAGAGGGGGG